CCACCCTGGGGGGCCCAAAACCCACCCTGGGGGGCCCCAAAACCCACCCCCACGCACCTCAAATCGTGGTGGCCGAGTACGCCATCGCCCTGGCCCGGCGCCACGTGACACGGTGGGGCCCCAAACCCACCCTGGGGGGCCCCAAAACCCACCCCCACGCACCTCAAATCGTGGTGGCCGAGTACGCCATCGCCCTGGCCCGGCGCCACATGACACGGTGGGGCCCCAAACCCACCCTGGGGGCCCCAAACCCACCCTGGGGGCCCCAAAACCCACCCTGGGGGGCCCCAAACCCACCCTGGGGGTCCCCAAACCACACCCTGGGGGTTCCCAAACTGCACCCTGGTGGTCCCCAAACCACACCCTGGGGGTCCCCAAAACCCACCCTGGGGAGCCTTAAATGCTCTCTGGCTTGAACCCAACCTCCCCAGGACCGCCTAAAACCCACTGGGGGTCCCCAGAACGCTGTTGCCCCCCCCATATTTGTGTTTCTGGTTGATCTGCACCTCCTGAGGGGGTTCTGTGGGGTCCCATCCATTGACTCCCCCTCATGTCCCTCCCAGGTCCATCTCCACCTCTGGGGGGCCTGGGAGCTGTCCCAGGGGTCCCCCCCAAGCCTGACCACCCCCATTTCTCCCCTCCCCAGGTCCATCTACACGTCCCCCATCAAGGCCCTCTCCAACCAGAAGTTCCGGGATTTCCGGGAGACCTTCGGGGACGTGGGGCTGCTGACGGGGGACGTGCAGCTGCGCCCCGAGGCCGCCTGCCTGGTCATGACCACCGAGATCCTGCGGTGAGGGGCTGCTGGGGGGCCTCGGGGGGGCTTTGGGGGGCGGTCGGGACCCCAAAACCCATCCCTGCTTCCCCGCAGGTCGATGCTGTACAACGGCTCCGACGCCATCCGGGACCTGGAGTGGGTGATCTTTGATGAAGTGCACTACGTCAACGATGACGAGGTTTGGGGGGGTCTGGGGGGGTCTTAGGTGGGTCCTCATGGGGTTTGGGGGGCCCTCAGGGTGGTTTGGAGGGTCCTGGGGGGGGGTTGGGGGGGCTCGGGGAGGTTTGGGGGACATCAGCCGGGACCTGGAGTGGGTCACCTTTAACGAGGTGTGTCGTGCCAGTGGTGATGAGGGAGGAGTTTGGGGGTCCCCAAGAAGTTTAAGGGGTCACCGGGGGTTTTGGGAGGTCCCCAAGGGGTCCTGTGGGGGAGTTTGGAGGGTCCCATAGAGGTTCTGGGAGCTTTGGGACCCCCCTGACCCTCTCAGCAGGAGCGATGAGGGAGGACATGCTGATTGTGGAGAATCTGGGGGATGTTTTGGGGAGCTCAAGGTTTTTGGGGAGCTGGGGGGTTTTGGGGGGTCCCAGGAGGGTTTGGGGCCCCCCCTGACCCCCCCTGTGCTCCGCAGCGGGGGGTGGTGTGGGAGGAGGTGCTGATCCTGCTCCCCGAGCACGTGAAGCTGGTGCTGCTCAGTGCCACCGTCCCCAACGCCCTCGAGTTCGCCCAGTGGGTCGGGTACGGACCGGGGGGCGCGGCTGGGGGGGCCCTGCGGGGCTTGGGGGGGGTGGGTGGTCTCTGAGAGGCACGTGGGGGGCTTTAGGGGGCTGGGGAGAGAGCTGGGGGGGGATGTGGAGGACGTGGGGGGCTCAGAGGGGTTCTGGGGGTCCCTGGGGGGCAGGAGGGCTCTGGGGGTGGGGGGTAATGATGTGGGGCAGCACAGAGGGACAGGGGGACGTGGAGGGTGTGAGGGGAGTCCCTATGAGCCCTGTCACCCGGGTTTTACCCAATTCTGGCTGTTTTCCCCCCGTTCCAGGCGCACCAAGCGCCGCTGTGTGCGGGTGCTCTCCACCCTGGGCTGGGGGGAGCATGGGGAGTGTGTGTGATCCCTCCATTGCCGTTTTTGCCCAATTCTGCCTGTTTTCCCCCCATTCCAGGCGCACCAAGCGCCGCTGTGTGCGGGTGCTCTCCACCCCAGACTGGGGGGAGCATGGGGGGTGTGTGTGATCCCCCCATTGCCGTTTTTGCCCAATTCTGGCTGTTTTCCCCCCTTTCCAGGCGCACCAAGCGCCGCTGTGTGCGGGTGCTCTCCACCTTGGGCTGAGGGGAGCACGGGGGGTGTGTGTGATCCCTCCATTGCCGTTTTTACCCAATTTTGCCTGTTTTCCCCCCTTTCCAGGCGTACCAAGCGCCGCTGTGTGCGGGTGCTCTCCACCCCGCGGCGCCCGGTGCCACTGGAGCATTTCCTGTTCACCGGGAACAGCTCCCGGACACGGCACCAGCTCTTCCCGCTGCTGGGCCCGGGGGGGGCCTTCAGCACCCAGGGGTGAGACCCCCGCCTGCCCCTCACCTGCCCCATAGCTCACCTCTCACCTAGCTCACCTCTCACCTGCCCCATAGCTCACCTCTCACCTGTCCCGTAGCTCACCTCTCACCTGT